TCAAAAAATTAAAATTGATTTTTTTTTTTGTTATTTTTTACATCACCAACCACATGGATATTTATGATTTATTTATTATTTAGAAATAATCGTTAGTAAACGAATAATATATTGTCATATAGTCCAATAATATAAAATAGTAACAAAAACATAGAATATATAACAATTCTCAAAAAATAAATAGTGTGGTGAAAGTGAGGCACCGTTTGGGAAGTGGTTTTATGGACTTTTTTGGCTATTTTAGCCACAAAAGACAAAATACGCTATTTTAACCATAACAAACAAAACATCACATCTAATTCATAATCATTACACTATTCTCTCACAAAAAAAAGTCAAAAAAGTCAAAAAGTCAAAAAGTCCTTCACAAACCAAACTTTTTAACCCAGGCTAAAATAATCAAAAAAACCAAAAAACTAACCCATTTCCCAAACCAATCCTGAAATGAAGCCCACATTATTGGGATTTAGAAAATGTGAGTGTATGTAATAAAAAGAACTATCTTCTCTCCCATTAAAGTAGTTAGGAGAAAATTTGTGTTGAAGATATAAAAATAAAATAAAAAATGTTAGTCTATATAAATAGAATTTAAATTATGTAAAAGTATTAAAAATATAGGTCAACACAATGGAATCTAATTATAGTGAAAATAATAAAAATATTTAAGATATTTATAGTGGACCTGTGTACCAACCTATACATATATTTGTAGTTTTTATAGATAGTAAGGTCTAGTTTGGGAAGATTAAATAAGTGTACTTTTTGAATTTTTATGAAATATGGGTTGGGTTTGGATTGGGTTTGAAGTGATGTGTTAGAGAGGTGATGTGACTTAAATAGGATAGTGACTTTTTGACTTTTTGTCTTTTTTCAATCATGCCAAACTTGACCTAAATTACATTGACCTCAGTGGTGTGAAACAGAATAGGCTATTTGAGCCACAACAGATAAAACATCACATCCAATCCATAATCATTACACTCTTCTCTCACAAAAAAAGTCAAAAAAACCAAAAAGCCCTTCCCAAACCAAGCTTTTGAGCCCAGAATCAAATAGTCAAAAAAGTCAAAAAACCAAAAAGTCAATCCACTTCCCAAACGGAGACTTAGTATAATTACACAGATATTCATTTTAGTAATATTAAAGAAATTAAAATTAATGTAGAATATGTAAAGACATAATAAAGATAAATAAAGTAAAAGATATATTTCAACTTGAACTAACAAATTAGTGCAAAAATGAGTTAAATGTTCTATGAATTAAAATATTAAGAGAATTTAATATAATTATGTTAATTTTTTTTTTCTCCTAAATCTCAATGAAGTCAATATAAAATAAACAATATCAATGGAAGGGAATCCCCTAACCCAAATTTCAATAAATGGTTTAAAAAAATAGAAATCACATACTACTAGCAATGATTAAAAAATTGGAAGCAAGATTAGTGCAAAAATAAGAAAGGGATCAATTAGCTGGATCACAGACTTTCAGTCTGTCAATGATTGTTGATTGAGCAAATCCAAAGCAAGCAATAGCCAATAGGTTGTAACTGGTGTTGTTTTCTCTCTTTCTTTCATTCTTCTCTACTCCCACAGTTACCCCAGTCCAATCGAGTTAAGACCAAGTTTGGAAAAATTAAATAAGTGTATTTTTTGATTTTTTATGAAATATGGGTTGAATTTGGGTTGAATTTGAAGTGATATGTTAGAGAGGTGATGTGACTTAAATAAGATGATGTGACTTAAATAGAATAGTGACTTTTTGACTTTTTAGATTTTTTGAAAGATGCCAAACTTGTCTATCACAATTTTTTATAAAAAAATAAGTTACATAAATATATAATTCAAAAATAAAAATAAAATACAATTAAAGATAAGTTGTTAAATTTATGAAAATATTAAAAACAATCTTTAGAATTATTGTTAGTGTTAAAGATATGTAAGAATTATATTCAGATACATAAAAATATTTTGAATATATTAAAATTATAAATATTTTAATTTTTATGATTCTTAAAGACAGCTCTTAGAATTGTTATTAACAGAACCACCCATATAATTAAACCATTGTTATGGGTCTAATCTGCCTATGAGAAGAAGTGAGAACATTGGGACCTCAAACTCATAATGGTAGGCACATTCACATGTGGGCAACAACTAGATGGATGAGAGAGAAATCTTCCAAGAGTTGGTAGGGTGGAACCATCTCTACAGGTTTGAGAAAGGAGTTGCCTGTCTACTGTCCACCTTTTTGCCAAGAGTGTGTAGCACAACATTTGGAAAAGGATATTTGTCTTTAATTGGACAAAGGAGTTTTATGTCTCCATCATTTTTTTTTTTTTTTTTTTTTGGAAATCCAAAAACTAATTTGTTCACCAAATACACTATTTCTTTTCAGTCATCAAAAGAAAAAAGAAAAAAAAGAAAAGAAAAAGAAAGATAATTACTCACCTAAACTATACCTCTTGTTTTCAAAACTTTATTTTATCTTAATTTAAATCTCTCAACATTTTAAATGTCTCAATCTCATCCTTATATACAAGAAAAAATAAGAAGAAAGATAATCACTCACCTAAATACCTGTTGTTGTAGAGTGGTTTCAAAACTTTATTTTATCTTAATTTAAATCTCTCAACTTTTTATATGTCTCTATCTCATCCTTATAATATGGTCTTGTAAGAATAACAGCCATGGTAGAAAAAGAGATATTTAGAAGGAATGGTTGGATTGTGAGGGTGAGATTGCATCATTTGGAATGTGGGTTAGTTTTTTGATTTTTTGACTATTTTAACTTGGGGTTAAAATACTTCGTTTGAGATGGATTTTTTGACTTTTTTGACTTTTGTGAGAGAAAAAATGAAATAATTATGGTTTAAATATGACATTTTGTCTTATTAACTTTTTAGTCTATTTTATTTTTTTATGGTTATTTTAGCCAAAAAAATCCCAAACTTTTTATTCCCAAATGAGAGCTAAGAGCATCTCCAATGGAGCTCTCAAAACATTTGCCAAAGGTATAATATAGCAATAGTGATAAAAAATTGGTCTCCAATGACTTGCTATTTTACTTGTCAAAGATGACATATGCCATATCTGTTCTCAAATTTGGCTAGTAAAATAGCAATTACCAAACATGCCACATCAGCAAATATGAACATATTTGTGACTCCAAATTTAATTGAAAAAAAAAGAATTGAAACAGTAGAAAACCAAGTAATTTTTCAAATTGAATTATATTTTTTTTTTCTTCTAATTTTTCAAAATTTTTTATTTTTTATATTTATCTAGTCGGGAATAATATAAATATATAATTTTTTTTATAAACAGTTAAAAAAATGTCATAAAAGACAAAAAATAAACAAAAATAAAATCACAAAAAAACTTATATTCAAACAACACTTACAAACTTGGAGGGAAAGTTGGCTGAGAATTGCCAAAATAACAAGTGACCATTGAAGCACCATTGCTATAATTTGGTAAAATAGCACTATTTATTGTCAAATTATAGCAATAGCAATAATATTATAACAATAACTATTGAAGATGCTCTAAAGATGTTATTTTTTATTTTTTAGCTTGAATAATGTAAATTTATTTAAAGAATAACATTGCTGAGAGAGGGAAGTATAATTTTAAAAGGATAATATTAGGAATACGAAATCTATAACCAAAATTTTTACCAAACTATAAATTTTAATAAAACATTTATTGTTTCTAGCATTTTTTATTTTAAAAGTCACAAGACAAGTTCATGTAATTAACCCTTTAACAAATAAAAGGATGTATTTTGTTCACAACTTTATGCAGGTCCCAATTTGTGCTCCTTTTATTTTTATTTATTTTTTACAGTAATACTATGGACTTAGAGCATCTCCAACGGTGTACCAAATTTTTCACCAAATCTGAGTGAAAAATGAGTCATTTCCTTAATTTGATACTTCGCGCTCCAACAGTTCAACATCAAATCCGTTTCATCAAATTTGCACTGGGCAACCGGTTGGTTGACCGGCCGGTCGACCGGGTGCTCCTTTTATTTTTATTTTTATTTATTTTTTACAGTAGTACTATGGACTTAGACATAAAACTTAGAAATATTCCAGAATTTGACATCAATAGGTTAGGTTAATTTCATATGTGAGTCATATACTTTATCAATTCAATCTCTATTAGCTAAACCCATTTCTGGATACATTCTGAGTCTCAAATTCTAGGATCCTAGTTTTTGGTTTTTTTAATAGTATTTTTAACATTATTGTTATAAATAAATTAAAAAAATTAATATATTTATTATTGAATAATTTTTACTATTTTATGATTTTATCATCTCCTACTTAAAAATTCACAAAATAAATATGTAAATCTAAAATTTATTATTAGTAGAAAAACAATTAGGAGTTTAGATTAAGGAATGTTTTGAGAAGGTGGTTAAAAGTTGATTTTTAATTTTTATTAAATTTTTTTAAAAAAAATATAAAAAAAATATAAGAAATAAGGTAAAAAATTAAAAATTGACTTTTAATTCACTTTTAAAAGAAACCTAAGAGCATCCCTAATAGAACCTCTAAATGTCATACTTACCTATTTTAAGGGATTAGTAGCTTCCTATATCCTTCCAATAAAGCCCTTAAACACTTTTCTAAAATAGGAATTGCTACAGTGACTCCCCATAGCTCCCTTATAATTATAATTTTATTTTATTTAGGGAACTGCAATACACATTTATGATTTTTATTTTTTTAAAATTTATAATTAAAAATTATATTTTAATAAAATAGAGAAAAAATAAGGAGTTTGTTAATAGAATAAGAAAATAATAGGGAATTTATTGACAGAAATAAATGAAAAAATAATACTTAAAATAAAAAATAAATTTTTTAATAATATTTTAAGATAAAATTTAGATAAGCTGATAGAGACGCTATAAGTTAACCCAGGCTAATTAGAATATCACGAGAGAGAGAGATTGTATTAATATTGGTTATAAGGTTGTTATCTCTCTCTTGCCATCCCACCTTCCATTCTCTCTCCAAAACCTCACATTCTCTCTCTCTCTCTCTCTCTCTCTCTCCAACCCTCCTTCCATAAATTTAAAAACCCAAACACACACCTCAAAACCCTACCCAATTAACAACACAGCTAATTTCAACAAGAATGGCAGAGAGAGTCTTTCCCTCCACCAAGCCCACCACCAACGGCACCACCGCCCCCGCCGCCGCCGCACCTGGCGGCGGCAACTCAGCATTCCCGGCCACCAAAGCCCAGATGTACAACGCTACCCGCCCAGCCTACCGCCCTCCACCTCGCAAACGCAGCCGCCGGAGCTCCTGCTGCTCCTGCTGCCTCTGGACCACCATCGCCGTCGTCATCATCGTCTTCCTCGCCGCCGTCGCCGCCGCTATCTTCTACGTCCTCTACCGCCCCCAACGCCCTACCTTCTCCCTTTCCTCTTTCCAAATCTCCCAATTCAATCTCACTTCATCGTCACAACTCACCTCCAAGTTCAATCTCACAATCGAAGCTCGAAACCCTAACAAAAAACTCGTATTCTTCTACGAACCGATCTCCGTTTCAGTCTTCGCCGACGGAGTCGATGTCGGCGATGGTTCGATTCCGGCATTCGAGCAGTCCACGAAGAACACAACGGCGTTGACAACGATTATCGGATTCACAGGTCAGACCATGGATAGTACTGCGATTAGTGTAGTGAACTCGGATCTGAAGAACAAGAACAGTTTGCCATTGAAGATTCAGATAGACACGAAGATCCAAGCGAAGATTGGGAAGATGAAGACGAAGAAGATTGGAATTAGGATTGTTTGCGACGGCATTAAAGCCACCGTGCCCACCGGAAAGACGGCGACCACGGCGGCGACGGCGAGTGCCAAGTGCACGGTTGATCTCCGGATCAAGATCTGGAAATGGACCTTTTGAAGATCGAGAAGGTGTGATTTTATTTTTTTTTATTAAAAAAAAAAATTGTTGTTATATTTCAAAAATTTTGTGATTGATTTTGTTATGTTTGTAAATGCAGGGAAATTATTTGTGATTGTATTAGGATATTGTGATAATTGGTAGGTGTTTTGGAAAGTCAATATAGTTGTGGAATATATCACTACGTTACTCTGTTTGGTTTGTAAGAAAACGAAGGAAAAAAAATGAAAATTACTGGTTTCAGTTGCATGGATTCATTTGTTTGAGTGCTAATAATTTATTCACATTATTTTTTTTTAGATATGATTGCTGTTTATAACTTTTTATTTTTATTTCTTTTTGTTACTGTTTTATAGCGCTCAATACGTAACATCTGAATTTATCTTCATTATTTTTTGAATTGAATGACTATTTTATATGATTTTTCTTTCTAGAATGAATGCTTTCCTAATCATTATTAAGAATCAATCATTTGGAAAATCACATTATGAAATGGTATATTATTTTTCTTAATTACTATCCACTAATGCCGAGATAATGTCACATCAGAGTATTTAATAATTTTTTGTTATAGAAAATCTAGATGTTCGAGAAAAATCATCCAAAATTTTATACAAATAGCAATTGGATTAGCGTTATGTGATGGATCCATGTATTGAATAAACATAAACCATTTTGAATAAATTAGTAGTACTTCTTTCATTAAAATGAAAAGTTTTATTGTGATACTTATCAAGTAGCCGATGTTTGGCACCTTGGTTTCTGGCATTCCCTTCCCAACACGCTAGTATCAAATAATATGTATTTTTAGGGATTGTTTGGAATGTCTTAAATAAGTGTAATTTTTTGTCTTTTTAAACTAAAAAATTGAGAAAAAAATATGGATGTTTGGGTTTATTTTTTCACTTTTTATGAAAAAATGTGTATTAAAAAATTATATAAATTAGTGTGTAGGAGAAAATTAAGATTACGAGTTGTGCAGTCGTAATTTTTAACTTTTGATAAATAGTAATAACTTTTTAACTTTTTGACTTTTTAACTTATTTTCAACTTCTCAAACTTGGCCTTAGGCATAATTTATTCTTAAATTTTACTTTTAATGGGAGAGAGATGCTTAAAAGACTTAGGGTTGTTTGGAGTGTCTTAAATAAGTGTACTTTTTGACTTTTTAAATTAAGAAGTTGAGAAAAAAATATGGTTATTTGGATTAATTTTTTGACTTTTTACGAAAAATTGTGTATTAAAAGTGTATAAATTAGTGTGTAAGAGAAGATAAGGATAGTAGGCAGTAGACCGTACCATCTAGGGGAGTGAATTGATGATAAGAAATTGTTGCCTACTTTTTGGGCATTGCATTGAACAGTGTTGTTCGGTCTGTGGAGGCCATCACGGGTCCCGTTTTGATAATTTGAACTGTTCAATGTGTAGAACTCGTTGAGTACTATATGCTTGTCAAAAATCACGTTAATCGGATATCGATAGTTATCTGATTGGATTAGTTTTTTTTTTTTTTTCCAACCGTTAACTATAACACCATCCATTTTTTATACAAAACTGATTTAATCATAAAGTTAGCGATATTCGATCAACGTGATTTTTTACAGACATATAGTACTCGACGAGTTCTACATATTAAACGGTTCAGATTATCAAAACGGAACCCGTGATAGGCCCCATGGTCCGAACAACACTGTGTTGTTTGTGCTCCCCGCCTGTGCAATTTTTCCAAATCATTTCAGCAACCGTCTGTGGGACGGTTCAGACTGTGTTGTAATAATTTGTGTGTAAATTTTTTTTTTTTTTTTTTGTGAATAATGTTAACTTTTTAATATTTTTAGTAACTTTTTGACTTTTTAAATTTTTTTGGGTATCCCAAACCACCTTAGCTATTGTTTAGCATAAGTTAAAATGAGATTTTTTAACTAAAATAATCATAAAAAGACATTAAATTTTTTAACCCAATACGATAAAATATTATTTTTAAATTATAATCATTTTATTTTTGTTCTCACAAAACTCAAAAAATCAAAAATATTATTCTAAACGAGACTTTTTAATCTCATGTTAAAATAACCGAAAAGTTAAAAAGTCAATCTATATCCCAAACAAGCCCTTAATTGATGTGAAATTGTAACAATGTTAGTTTTTTTTTGGTTAGATGATTGAGATGACTAATCTAATATGTTTGGTAATTTTTTATAGAGAATTTCAATTCAGTATAAATTTTTAAAAAGAATTACAGATAAATGGTAAATTTTATACAAATTATAGCGCTACTAATAAGTAATTTTTTCATTTTTTATTTACAAAAAGTATTTTTTAAGTGAATACCACATAATATACTAAGGGTTGGTTTGGGATGTTCTAAAAAAGTGTACTTTTTGACTTATTGGTTTATATGGGTTGGGTTTGGGTTGGGTTTGATGTGATGTGTTAAAGAGGTGATGTGATTTAAATAAGATGATGTGACTTAAATAGGATAGTGACTTTTTGACTTTTTATATTATTTAGGGGTTGTTTGAGATGACCTAAATAAGTGCACTTTTTGTCTTTTTACGAAAAGATGTGCAGAAAAGTAGAGAGGTAATGTGATGAAAAAAAGATAAAAAGATAAAAAAATGGATTATTTTGTGTATGCCAAACTTGGCCTTAGGGCATGCCAAACTTGACCTAATAATTTTTTCTTTTAGTGGGCCCCAAAAGTAAGATTTTTACAAATATCATGTAAATCTCAAGTTTTTTTTTTATAAACTTATATATATATATATATAACTATTTAATATATCAAACATATTCATTCAAAAAACATTTGAATGATTGATTATGTGATGAAAATTAAATTTATTTAGTGTGGAATTTATATGTAAAATAAATTTAAATTATACAATGATTGTTATAAATAATTTTTAAATAATTAAATCTAAATTTATAATATTACTGATTTAGGGTTGGTTTGGGATGTCCTAAAAAAGTGTACTTTTTGACTTATTGATGGGTTTGGGTTGGGTTTGATGTGATGTGTTAGAGAGGTGATGTGATTTAAATAAGATGATGTGACTCAAATAAAATAGTGACTTTTTGACTTTTTAACTTATTTAGTACATGTCAAACTAGCCCTTAATAACAATGATATATCCCGCACAAACCTTCCATCATGTCACATCTGGAAAAGGTTTAGTAGGTGAATAGTCATTTGTCATTTGTGAAAAAAAAGAATAGTCATTTGTCAAGGCCCCACATCAAGTGGGAAGAGTGGTATGCAATTTTGCAATTCTTTGTAACAAATTAATTAATTTATTAACCGTGTTATATGTATGGAATAATTATAAATATTTAGGCTTTATTTGGTTTGTATTTGAGAAACATATTTTGAGATAAAAAGTATAAAAATTTATTTAGTTTAGTTTTTTTTCAAAAGATATTTTGAAAAATTATTTTGAGAGAGAGTTTTGAAAAAAGTGATTGATTTGATGTGTATGAGAGATAGATTTGTTTGGAAAATTTATAAACCAAACAAGTTTTGAAAAAAAAATTTGAAAATGTTTATTTGGTTTGATTACTTTTGAAAACTTATTTGTAGAGAATTTTTCCTAAATTTTTTTGAGAAACACAAATCGAACAAGGCCTTAGTTTTTTTTAGATTTTTTTTAATATATAAATTATATTTCTTAAAATTTTTTATAAAAATAATTTAGTAATCTTATCACTAACTATAATGTATGGGAGAAGTTGAAAAGGATACTGCAATAACTATATACAGATTGTATCTATAATTATTTGTATAAGGGGATTTTAAATACTGATCAGGTGATTTTGATTAAATCAATAAATGCAGGCATGTGAATTGAAAAAATTTAATAAATACTGATCAGAGAATTTTGACCAAATCAATAAATATTAAATTTTTTTAAATAAAAATTAAAAAAAAATTGGGATATTGAAACTCCCACCAACCTCATGAAGTAACGATATGTGTGTCGGTGCCACCGACTAATTACTTCTGAGTGAGGTTAATGTTTACCTAATGTTGTCACCCGTAGCTAAAAATTTTGAGTTGCTTTAAAAAGATTAAAAATTAATTTTTTAATACTTTTAACTTCTTTTTAAAAATGTATAAAAAAGTAGAATGATAATATGATTTAAAAAAAATTAAAAATCAAAAAAATTACTTTTAACTTCTCTCTAAAAGAGGCCTTTATAGTTATTGATTCACAATTTTTAAGTAATAAATAAGAGAAACTATTCATTAAAATATTTTATTATTTTAAATTGATTGGATATGTCGTTAATATTATTACTTGATATTCATACATTTTTTTTAAAAAGTAATGCTATGATAATCGTTGACTTATATTATATTTCATATACTATTACTTTAATGTGGTACACCGCATTAGTTATATGTTGATAACATTCATATAAATGATTTTTTTTTGAAAAGTGGGTTAGGAAGCACTTTTTAATTTTTAATTAAATTTTTTTTTATAAAAAAATTAAAAATAATTTTTAATCAACTTCTCAAAATACTCCAAAGTTTATTATAGTCGTTATTATTCAAATAATTTATGTGGGAGAAAATATTTTAGATAGTTATGTGAGAAAATAATTTATGAGTGTGTCATATGATGGAGTTAACATGGTCTATGTTTTCACATATTTATGGTTGGTTTGGCAAGTTTTAAATAAGTTAGAAAGTTAAAAAGTTACTATCCTATTTAAGTTACATCATCTTATTTAAGTCGCATCACCTCTCTAACACATCACTTCAAACTCAACCCAAATCCAACCCATATTTCATAAAAAGTTAAAAAATACACTTATTTAGATTATCCCAAACAACTCCATGCAATAAAAAGTGGATGGATGGTATACGGAGGAGAAATATCCTCTGCTTTCCATACTCCTTGGACTCAAGCTTCACGCGACGACGTCTAACCTGGCAACACAGAAACGGTGAGCTGCCCGGTGGTGGGTTGCCGGATAGACCCCCCGACGATCAAGTCAGATCACTTGAAGAAGAAGAAGGCTGTTAGAGAGAGAGAGAATGTGTTTCAGATGGCACCAGTTGCTTACCTCTAACGTTCATCTTTCGCTCCTATTTCTAGGCTGGCCATGCAGCCTCAGGATTGTGCGCGCACTACCTCTGTTGTCCTTTCCTAAACAGGTGGCAGTGCTCGCCTCTCACCACCTTACGCGTGTAAAGGCCTAGTCCTCCAACCAGTACACGCAGAACTGCTCAACGATATTGACACGTGCC